GAAACCGTTTTCTGGAAATCTGTTGTTTTCCCGGTGAAACGGTTTCTGTCTTATACAGTATGCAACTTATTTAGCTTTTTATTCATCAGTCATTTGTCCTCCCTCTAAATACAACACTTTAAGAGTTGTCCGTTAGGGTGATGGAAGGAAATGATCTTTCTCCCAAAGGGTTTTCAGTCCATCTATTCGTTAGTCTCGTGCGCGGCACAGCTAAGAAGCAGATGAGTAAAAGAAACTGATATTCTCTTGGGCTCTGTTGTCTTGCTTAGAAAGAATATGTACTCAGGTGGAGAGAATGTTCAGATGAATGGGGACACACCTCACGACGGAGGCCACGGAGGAGGAGGAGGAGGACATGCGGATTGTGAAGAATTGCAGCGAACTGGACGGTAACTGATGGATTATTTGGCCATTCACGATGAGAATCTCCTTATTTTATTATTTTAAATATTTATTTTGAGAGAGAGAGAGAGAGGACATGCTTGCCTGTGCACACAAGCAGGGGAGGGGCAGAGAGGGAGGGAGAGAGAGAATCCCAAACAGGCTCTGCACTGTCATCACAGAGCTCTATGTGGGGCTGGGTCTCATGACCATGAGATCACGACCTGAGCAGAAATCAAGAGTCAGCTGCTCAACCGACTGAGCCACCCAGGCACCCAGATGAGGATCTCTTTAGATCTTAATTTCCCTTCATCTCCCTATCAGCATTTTACTCACTGATTTGTATACTTGTGCAGCCAACAGATATTTATATTGATTAATCACAGGCACTGGGGATGCAACAGTGAATTAAACAAAAACCCTTTGTCCTTTTGGGTTTTCCTTTGTAGTAGTGGGAGAGAAGCAATGAGGAAATTAAGAAATGTGGTGATGGTTTAGTGGGGGAAAACGAAAACAGAAATAGGGGGTTTTGTGATAGGGGAAAGACGTTCCAATATAAAGAGTGAACTCAGAGAAGGCCTTACAGAAAAGTCCGGCAGGAAAGCCCATGAGAAAAGTCCTGCAGGAGCTAGAGATAGACCAGCAGAAGTGAGGTAGGGGGAGGGGACAGCAGAGGGCCTGGTGTGTGTTGGGTTGGCATCCAGGCCATGAAGTGAGGGAGGAGGTGTTGGAGAGAAAGCCAGCGGGGTCTTCAGGTGGGTGTGAACCCGTAGCAGGAAGGTGGAGTCATGTGTTGTCTTCCCCATTTGGCTTTTGTGCGTCCCTCCCTTCTCTGTACATTTATTCATAAGTGGGCAACATGGTACAGAAATGAGGAACTCACAGGTCATGGTCTCCTTAGCCTGCCACTGGGGATTCAGGATTCCCAGACTGCTTTTGTAAATCTCTTTTTATGATAATTCCTCCTTTTCTTTCCACTATTAGGTTCTCCATTTTGTTTTGTATTAAATAAAATTTAAAGTAGGATACTGATTTTATGAAGATAGGACTTCTTTTTTAATGTTTATTTTTTTTGAGAGAGAGAAGAGAGAGTGTGCGAGCAGGGGGAAGGGCAGAGAGACAGTGGGGAGGAGGACAGAGGACCACAAGCAGGCTCTGCGCTGACAGCACAGAGCCCGATATGGGGCTCGAACTCACAAATTGTGAGATCATGACCTGAGCCAAAGTCGAACACTTAAGCCACCCAGGAACCCGAAGATAGGACCTTTTAAGAACATTAAAGGTTTTTTTGAAAGCACAAAAGTATGTCTTTTTCAGATGTAATTGAATCTGAATAAGATGATTTCATTCTTCTGATGACCGCTTGGGTTTCTCTCTGAAATTAAGGGGACATTTTTTCCCTCCCCTTTTTTTCTGAAAGAATAGAGAACATAAAACCTCCTCTCCCCCTATTTTTTCTGAACAGTTCTTTACAAAGTACTTTTATTAGGAATATTCTTTTCCTTTTCTATAGATATGAGTTCTGGGATTCAGCTCTTTTACTTAATCAGTCTGGAATTTAATTCTTGGATAGCTCACTTTTCCCCCAATGTACTGTCTGCAGCCTGCCCAGCACCACGCACAGCCCTATGCAGACCACGAAAACTGAAGTGGGGCACGGGATGCAGCGAGGGCCAGCAAGCCCACACACAGACAGACAGTCCCGATAAAGTGTGATAGCCCCATGGTGGAAATCTGAACTCTCTGAGGGAGGGCCCCACAGGCAGAAGGAAGGGTATGCGTGGGGAAGGCTGAGACGTGAGGTTTGGTTGGGAGGGTAGTTTGACAGATGCATAACTAAGGCAGCTGACCTGCGAATGTGCGTAATGGGGCTACGCTTGCAGTGCTTTTCCACCGTATACCTGCGTGGCTTTCTTCCTTCGTGCCTTCGGGACCTTATCCCAAAGTCACCGGTTCGGGAGGCCTGTTCTGGCCACTCTAACAGTTCAGCCATTGCTTCTCTAGCATTTCATAACCTTCTTTCCCACTTAATATTTTCCCTTGATGTTTAGCACCATCCATTTTGCTTATATTGTCTGTCCCCCATATCGGAAGGAAAATCCCCGAGGACGAGGAAAATCCTCGTCTTTGCCTGTATTGTTCACTGTTGTGTCTCCAGCACCTGGAGAAGTGCTGGGCATATCACAGGTGCGCAGTAAACACTTGTGGAATGATGAATGGGGCTGGAAAGGAAACAACGCAAGATTATTAAAGGACTTCTATGCTCTGCTCCTGGGTGTGATGTTTTTCTACAATGAGTGAGAAATTTTAATCCATCTACGCCATTCACTCTCATCTAAAAACCAACTGTTCTTTAGGGAATGCAACACCTAATTTAGGGACCAAAACAGAGACAGATAGAAGAAAATTTATTCTTCTACAGTTTTCCCATTTTCCCTTAAGTGGTTAAATAGAGCTTGTTGATTCAAACACTTTGACTGCAAATTCTTTGTGGTTGAATGAGTTACCCTTGGTTAATTTGATGACAAATTTATTTTACCTTGTCACATGTTTGCTTTCTCCCTACCCAGGTTCTGTGGTGGACTCATTAAGGACATAAAGAGGAAAGCACCATTTTTTGCCAGTGATTTTTATGATGCTTTAAATATTCAGGCTCTTTCAGCAATTCTCTTCATTTATCTGGCAACTGTAACTAATGCTATCACTTTTGGAGGACTGCTTGGGGATGCCACTGACAACATGCAGGTGGGTCTGGTTTGGGGGAGACACAAATAGTACAGCCCAGATTGCCTTCCTCACCCCTACAGCTCGGCTAGAAGCAGATGGCCTTTCAGTTACTCAGCGTGATTTTCTTTCTTTTGCTGGATGCTGCATTTTACTTTGCTTCTGGCCTGCTGCTATATTTCCAGCATTTTAGTAATTACAAAAATAGCTCGATGAAATCTGGCTTGAGTCACAAGTGGGGAAAAGAAGGGAAGGAAATGAGGATATACAGTTCCATTTGGGCAAAAGCATATCAGCTGCTTTAATTTTGTGCAGGGCATGGGGTTTAGATCTTCTACTACCTTGAATGTATGGGCCATATTCTGTTAAGCTTGATGATAACACTTTTTCTGGGAATGCATGATTACCTTCATTTTACACAAGAGCAAACAGTCATCAAAAAATTGAGGGATTTGCTTGAGGTTGGATTTGCATGTCTATCAGTAGGATTCAGCTTTAAGGGAATACAAGTTAAGAGTTGTTTCTCCTGATCTTGAACCTGCCTGATCATTAAGCTGTAAAGACCCTGGCTTGACTTATTTTGTACAAACCATAGTCTGTTACTCTGCAGGTGCCGTTTGCCATCCTTTTGTATCAGTAACAGCTGACGTTTTAGTGGTACGAAAGATATTTTGGATGCCCTCTATCATTCAGAAAAATATGTACAAAGCTAAGAAAAAATAAGCATTGTGCTAGATGCTGAATACAGAGTAGTGAGTGAAGCCAGTATTCTTAGGAAAAGAACTAGATTCATTCCCTTTTCAAACTCTGTCCCTTCTACTTTAGTGCTTATTACTGATTAACCTATGTGACATTCATAAGTGCTGCCAGCCACCTTCTTAAAAAAAAAAAACAAAACAAAAAACAAATCCAGCTGTTTCAAAAGATTGCTTTCTTCCACTTTTGTTTTCTTCTCTGTGCACATTCATGCTTTAGATTCTGCCTAAACACAAAAATGAAATGGAGATGATATATGACATCTATGTTGACCCAAGTAAAAAGGGAGAAATTGCTTCAAATAATTGTATGTAGTCTGTTAAGAGCACTTTTATCTTTTATTTATTTTTTATTTTTTATTAAAAAAATTTTTTTTTAATGTTTATTTATTTTTGAGACAGAGAGAGACAGAGCATGAATGGGGGAGGGGCAGAGAGAGAGGGAGACACAGAATCGGAAGCAGGCTCCAGGCTCTGAGCCATCAGCCCAGAGCCCGACGCGGGGCTCGAACTCACAAACCGTGAGATCGTGACCTGAGCTGAAGTCGGACGCTCAACCGACTGAGCCACCCAGGCACCCCAAGAGCACTTTTATCTTTTAGCCCTTATCTATTATTGCATAGCATATTAATCCAAAACTTAGAGGCTTGAAACAACCATTTCATACTTCCCTTTCATGGTTTTGGTGGTTGACGGGCTTATCTGGAGTGGTTCTCTCTTTGGGCCTCACATGTTTGTAGCGAGGTAACAGCTGAGGTTGGAGTCCCCTGAAGGCTTCTTAAATGTTTATTTATTTTTGAAAGAGACAGTGGAGAGGGAAGGCAGAGAGAGAGGGACAGAGGATGCGAAGCAGGCTCTGTGCTGACAGTAGCTTCAGCACAGAGCCTGATGCGGGACTCAAACTCACAAACTGCAAGATTATGACCTGAGCCGAAGTCAGATGCTCAACTGACTGGGCCCCCCAGGTGCCCCTGAAGGCTTCTTTATTCACATGTCTCGTGCCTAGATTGGGATGTCTGGAACATTTGGGGACTGAGGACTCTGAACATGACTTTTCCATTTGGCTAGCTTGGCTTTCTTACAGACGGGGACCATGATGACCTTTAAGAGCTCATGCCCTAATCAGAAGGGGGCAGGCACCGCTCAGCTTTGCTTATTCCTATATGAATATGCTCTCCGTATTACTTCATTTTCTGATTTTCAGAAAGAGGCTGAAAACTCAAATTCTTATGTGAAATCTAGTGATTCTTAAATATTTGCAACGAGTTAACTTTTAAAAACTAACATTGTGCTGGCCAGAAAGCACATATGTATATGTTCCCAGCGAGAGACCTGCCATGTGGGGAAGAGAAACCAAGAGTGGTAGGACACAGAGATGAAGTATGTGAATAGGGTGTTCTTCCCTCTTTTCCTCGTTCATAAGGTAGGAATGAACGAAATAAACTGCAACAGTGATGTCAATAACAGGATTTTTATAAATCTGATCTGTATCCAAATAGGGCAGTTATTTTTCGTCCAGATGAGAGCATAGTGATAACTAAATCAGATCATTGAACAAAACCAGTGGAAAAGAAAGCACTGAGGAAGCACTGCGAGGCCAGCACAAAGAACATAATACAGGCAGTCACGTTAGGAAAATAAAGCTGTGATTTGGGGACAGTGGCAAGAAAACCTCCTTCTGTTGTTCAGAATATACAGAGACTTTCTTGTGCAGATCATTTTTTAACACATAGTTTTCCGTGGATTCTTTTCCTTGAAGTGGAGAAATTACAACACGTCCTATGTGTTAGTTTATTGCCTTTTTAAACTGAATTGAACCCCTTTTCAACCTCATAAGACTTAGCTTTAAATTAAAAAAAAAATTTTTTTTTTACATTTATTCATTTCTGAAAGACAGAAAAAGAGTGTGAGCAGGGAAGGGGCAGAGAGAGAGAGGGAGACACAGAATCTGAATCAGGCTCCAGGCTATGAGCTGCCAGCAGAGATCCCAACGAAGGGCTTGAACTCACAAACCATGAGATCATGACCTGAGCTGAAGTTGGATGCTTAACCGACTGAGCCATGTAGGCACCCCAAGACTTAGCTGTAAAATGCAACATCTGAGATGAGGAAGAAGTCTGTTGAAGTCTATTGTTGATCCCTCCTAGGTGCATTAATTTCCATATGTGCAAGTTTTGGGGAAAGTAAAGGATTCTGTTGTGTGACACGTGTACTTATCATGGGTATTTGTTCTGTGATCATTGTCATGGGAAAGGCCTTCACGGTGGAGTAAGCAGTGTTCAGGATCCTGCAGACTTTAGGAGAAACAGAAAGGCTTTCAGTACATCAGGATGTTAGGTCGTCCGCAAAAATGACCATTTGCTGGACGTCACTCCTAGGAGTTGACTTAATTCAAAGTACAAAATTCAAAGCTAGGAGGACATTTGCTAGACATATTCTGCTTATTACAGATTTTGTAATCTCTTATTGATAATGTCATTGAAGCTGTGAACTCGATGTTTTAAAAGTCTTTGGAAATATTAAAGGGTATATTTTTCTGTCCCTTCTGAAATCTCTTTCCTTGAAGAAATGTATTGGCAAAGAACTGCAATTTTGTACTTGTAGAAGTCAGAGTGGGTGGCAGAAACACTGAAAAAGAATAGAAAATGAATGATTGTTAATATATATTTGTTGAACTGAATAGTCTATTATCTATTTCTTTTGGGCGAACTAATGCTATATAGTGAATGGATTCATAGATCTAAGTACTGGATTTATAGCTATAAAACCACCTGTCTGACAAGTGCACACACACACACACACACACACACACACACACACACAACTCAATAGTTTTATAGTAATTATAGTATTTACAGTTTTATAGTAATTTTACATATCCTAGTATTTTAATAGGAAACATTTTACCTGTAGTCATTGTACTAGGTTTTCTTATGATGATAGATGACTTAGGTTGATATTTCTGTTGGTTTTATCTATTTTAAGGACGAGGGAGTAAGGTAATTTAATATGTTGAAAAGTATCTCAATACTGAAAGGACCTGTACTTGAACATACAGAAGTTTTGATGCTCTGAAGTAGAAATCTTGACTTGGCATCAGGACAACAAAATATTTTGTGGATTTGGTGCTAAGTCCCAGATCACTTCCCAGGCCCATGGCAGAGGTTGATTTATTCCTTTGCAAGTATTTATGGGGTGTTTACTGTGTGGCAGACACTATTTTAAGTGCTGGGGATACAGATAAGTAGCCAAAATAGATAATAATCCCCATTCTGATGGTATTTACAGTCTAGGGTGTTGATAAGGCATTCTTTTTCTATGTCCCCAAGAGATACCAGTAGTGGTATATAGGGGATTATTGAGGGTGGTAAAGCCCTCTGGGTCTATTTGACCTTCTAAACACTGGATCAGAACTAAGCAGGACATTGGCACAGCCTGAAGTAATCTTCAGTTATATCACATGCCTTCATAAATGTGGCAACGGGTTATTCTCAAAAGCACAAGTAGCTCAAGTGAGTCAACTGAGAATAGTGTCCTTGCTTTTAAGGCAGACAGCTCAGAGATGGTTCATATAGGGTCTTTATTGTCAGGCTACAAATAGACATGGGTGCTGGTACAAACGTGTTGTGAAAACACAGATGAGTCACTGAACTGTTGTTGTTTAAGCAACTCTTCTGCCAGCTTCTGTGCAGGAGGTCTTGCCTGCTTGAAGACAAAAATTTACAGTTAAGCATTTATTTCAGAGCTGAAAAAAATATATAAACTGTAATTAATATTAATCATAATAAAATATATGTATATTTAATCCCACATACACACCTGTGTGTATACATCTGTCCCCCACATCATTAGAAGCACATCTTAGGAGCCATACATATGGATCATTTCCCATGGACCTGTGTTCAAAATAAAACAGTTGAAGCTATGATGGATCCAAGTACAATCAGTTTATAATGGCAACATCCATGACTGCATGAATCCTCCAAGTTGGGCCACATGTTTGGACCATCAAGCTGCTCTGAGAGCACTCTAACGCTTTCAGAGGAGGTATTCATGGATTCCTTAAGTGTGGCAATTAAAATTTAGCTCGGATTTCTCAAGTGACTGAACCTGCTTTGCTAAGAGTTGACCTCAGACTTATCTTGGATCTAGCCCTGGGCTTGTGCCTCTTTTCTGTTCATATTGTTCAGCAACAAAGGACTAGAACATATGCTTTCTGAGGTCCAGGAATTGTGCAACACTCTTATTATCCTTCTCAGTATGTTCCACTGTAATAATGCTCTTGTCCCCTTGCCATGCTATGAAACAAACAAAAGGTTTGCAGCCTCACCATCCTAGAAGCATGTTCTTTCCGGAACCAACTCTGTGACCATGTGTGCCAGCTCATTGCATTGTAGTTATATTCTTGGTTGCCAGGCAGGTACACTGTTCTGTTCATTTAGATACTTCTGATTAAATTGTTAAACATTGATTTAACAAATACTTATGGATAGCTTAGTCTATGGGCAAGTTACCTGTACAGGGAACACTTTCTGATGTTCTGTGACAAGTCTCTATGTCACTTAAAAGTTGTTCTTAGCTTTATGGACACAGAAAAATCTTTGAACTCAAATTGACATTGTTAATTGTGAATGACTGAGCATAGTCTAGAGTGAAGAAAGTCATTTAAATTTTTTTCCCCAGAGTAAATATAATCTTATTTTCACAAACCTTTTAGCAAAAGGATACAGTAAGATTTTTAGAATTGTGTGAATTTTGTGATATTTATGGAGCCTAACGGAGCACATTTTAAGGAAATTTGTCTCATAATAAGGAACATTTATAGCTGGCATCTCCAAATTTGAAGCTTTATTTAAACATACTGCTGTGCTGAGAATATTTAATCAATCTGCTGAGGTTGGAAATATATCGTTTCTTATTCACATATGATATTCCTCCATAAGATAGACACTTCTTTATGAAGGTTCTCATGTGCAGTTTATAGCAGCAAGAGTAAAGAAAATTGATAATTGCTTCATTGTAGTAAGGACTGTATAGTAATTTCAACTTACCTAAATGTGCTTTGGCACCAAAATGCATTTCTTTCTCTAAGTGGAAATGCAAGGTGATATGCTCATCTGCCTGACATAGTCTTCCAGAAACATACCACAGGTTTAAAAAATTAGGTAGAGATAGTCTGTTGGCATGAGGCAGTTGGGTTGTTGTGTTTGGCAAAACTAAATGTGCATTTGGTGACAAAGTAAGGGGCTTGCATTGTTTACTTGCCTCCAGTGTGCTGGCTGTTCCTTCTCCCAGGAAGCAACTTAACTAGATCATTTGCTTCACTTCATGTACAAGTTCTGAATCAAACCTATTTGATTAAGGTTAAGTCAAATGTAACCGAATTTTTCACTTACCCGAACATATTTGGTTGGGTTTTTTCAATGGAAAGACCTTTGTCAACTCTGTTTTCTTGGTGATTAGAAAATGATAGTGATTTGGGCAGGCTGGCAGTCCCAAATGTTGCTACCTTCTAAAACTATTTTGTGTTTGTCTTGAAATAATTTTGAAATGGCTTTATTTTTAATAAGATATAATTATGCACTGTAGAAAACTCAAACAATACAGAACAACTACATAAAAGGTAATTTTGCCCTTAAACTCATGACTCAGAAATAGCCATTATGAGCATTTTCATAAACATCTTTCCTACATCTTGCAGTGCATGTGGAAACAGATAGATTGATGTATAAGATTTTATATAAGCGAGATCATATACCTGCTGTTTCATAACATGGCTAGTATTAAGTGGAAGTTTTTCCACTTCAGTGTGGACCTTGAGCATTATTTTTAATGACTACATCTTTTATACACATGATGATACATGTCCTACAATTTACTTAATAAATCTCCTATTAGTACACTTTCAGTTTTCCCGATTTTTCTCAATTATAAACAAACTGTGGTGCCTAACTACATTTTCATTCTTTGTAATTATGTCCTTGGAGTAAAATTCCTAGCAAATGTTTGCAGGATATTTTTTTTTTATATTTGTTTTAAATTACACTCCACAAAGGTCATCCCAGCTTTTACTTCTACCAATAATGGACAAGACTGTCCACATGCATGCACTCTTGCAAAAACAGGATTGTGTACCATATTTTCATTTTTGCCATTCAATGGGTGGAAAAATGATAGCTCATTCTTACTCAATTCAGATTTCTTTGATTTTTAGTGAGGGCGAATATCCTTCCGCATTTTTATTGGCTGTCTACACTTTGTATTTGTGTCCTTGGCATATTTTCCTTTTAGGTATTTGTTTTTTTTTCTCATTGACTCATAAGAACTCTCTTTGTGTAATAAGGATATCTACCCTTTTCTTGTCAGAAATATCCCAAATATATTTTTCCTAGCTCTATCCTGTGTCTTTTCACCTTATTTATGATTTCTTTTGCTATATAGATTGTAATTTTTATGTATTCAAAATCTTCAATCTTTTATGGTTTCTTATTTTCATTATATACTTAAAGAGGTTTCCCCACTCCAAGATTAGAAAAATATTTACCCACATATCTTAGTTCTTTTATGTTTTCATTTAAATTTTTTATCCATCTGGGATTAATTTTGTGTAAGGTTATACTGGCATTTGATGTTTGGGCACTTCAGATGATCTAGGTACCTATTCACAACTCTTCAAACAAAAAAATACTGTAAAGCCTCCCTGTCTTGCCCATCCATTCTATCACACTTGCAGTTGTGGCTCTTTGGTCAAGGTTTTGGGTCACACTTTTCTTTAAGCAGAGAGCTAATTCATCTTTCAGCTTTTTCTCTTTCTTCAGTCCTGCTGGGCAGCGTAAACAGAAATCCTGTTCATGACGACAGAGCTCTTTTAGGCAGAGTAGATGGCAATAAGGATTTGGCAGCTGTGATCTGTCAGGACAGAAATCACTGATTTATAGGCTGCAGTTACACAGGTGAAATAAAAAATGAGGGTTGGATATCCAGTCTTCTTCCCCAGTGTAGATGGATGATCTGTGTAACCCTAACAAATGTCAGCAGGTGGTTCTTATTTTGAGAGGAAGGGAGTTTTTTTTTGAATTGGTGCACCTCAAATTTGAGCTGCATGAAAATCAACTGGGGAACTTTGAAAAAATACCAATTCCCCAGGCTTGATCTTCAGATATATTGATTTAATTGTTCGAGGTAGAGATAAGGAATCAGTATTTTTTCTTAAAAAAAAAAAAAAAAAAAAAAAGCTTCTCAGATAATTGTCATGTGACCTAAATTTGATTTAGAGACTTTCATCATTTCTTCACTTATTTTTAATCATGTGGCTTGGCTTTTCACTGGGGACCTGACATCAAAACTCCTGCAGATAACTCGGGTCTTGACTGCCTATTTCCAATGGATGTGTTTAAGGGGCATTAGGCTGTATCATTTTCCTTGGCTAAATTTCAGATTTGAAGACACAGCTAGAGAAATTTAACTTTATTATTCAACATTCCACACAGTTTGTATAAATTATAACCAACACAGGCTGAAATTTCTCTTCTTATGGTTAGAAACATTTTAGTTTTCTTAAAAAGCTTGAAATATAACAACAATGTCAGCGAATACTTTATCATTTACTACCACCAAAATATTTTACTTTCCAAGTTTTACTTGGTTGAAAATTCTCAAAGCCATAGAAAATTTTTTGTTCTTGGGCAGTTGTGTCACTTTTCTCCTGTTATTGCCATCCAACCCCCCTCCCCCCAACAGTTGTGATTATTATTCTAAATAATGAATTCCTTAATAAAAAGGACAGAAAACAAGCAGGTCATTCTTTAGTGTTATATGAAGATACTCACTTGCAGTGAAGTCAAAATTGACAGTGTACATTTTTAATTTTTAATGTTTTGTTATCTTTTGAATGTGCTTATTTCACCTTAGCAACGACAGGCGTGATGGCCTGGTGACCCTTGTCACAGGTAGTTCGAAGATCTGAAACGCTGGTGTTACCAATGATGGTTAATTTTTTTTTTTTTTTTAAAGACTCTTGTTCTTATGGTCTGACTTCTTTTATGCTTGATCTTTCTGTTATGGGACTTGTGCTGATTTTCTTGGCTATTTTGCCAAACAGGGACCATCTTTGGTTTAACATCATACCCTGATGTGAGCAGAAAAGTGTTCATACATTGTTTTGGATGTGGGTTTTGACTTCACTGCTGTAAAGTAAAACAAACTATTCTGTTGTATTATAGTTGATTCCATGTGTTTAGTAACACAAGGAATGAAAAGAAGTAATGGCTGTAGCGTGGCCCCCTAAGGCTTCTGTTGCTTTGGGATTTGCTCTGAGAAATATTGGAGATCTAAAGAGGTTTTTTTGCCCCTTTTCCTCTGAGGACTAACCTTCATCTTTTCTTTTATGTCACTCCTTTCGGCTTTCTCTCCCCATCTTTTCCCTCTTTTGAAGAAAAGGGAAATAATAGAGCCAGGCTGGGAAGAAGGAGATGAGAAGTAGTGAAGGAAAGAAAACAAACATTTTATTGTATCTCTGTTATTAGCTCTTTATATATTGTCTTTCTTAGTCCAATTATTCTGTGAAATAGCAATTGATTTTACAGAAGAGAGAACATGTAGAGGATTTGGTGACTGGTGGACCTGAGATTTAACTCCGATATACTTCACTCCAACACATGCTGTTTGCACTGAGCCACCTGGAAAAGATGTTGGAAATCGGCTAGTTCAGCTTCCCATCTTATATCTAAACAAATACATTGTGTATATGTTACTGTTTATAAAAAAGTTATATCAGAGACTACACTAAACATTTTTCATGTGTTGTCTAATATGCATCCTAACTGTATAAGGCATAGAGAGATGAAGTAACTTGCTTAAAGTCATTGATTGAGTAAATGGCACAGTCTAGATGTCATTTTGAGATTTTTTTGATTCCAGAGTCCATTGTTATCCTCTACCATCTGGATGTTTCTCTTCTACGTGAGGAAACTAAATTTTTTTTTATTATGAAATCTATTGTAAAATTGGTTTCCATTACAACACCCAGTGCTCATCCCAACAGGTGCCCTCCTCGATACCCATCACCCACCCTCCCCTCCCTCCCACCCCCCATCAACCCTCAGTTTGTTCTCAGTTTTTAGGAGCCTCTTATGTTTTGGCTCCCTCCCTCTCTAACCATTTTTTCTCTTCCCCTCCCCCATGGTCTTCTGTTAAGTTTCTCAGGATCCACATAGGAGTGAAAACATATGGAATCTGTCCTTCCCGAGGAAACTAAATTTGACAGACTTTAAGTGACCTTCTCAAGATCATCAGTTCTCTGATGACAGAACAAAGTCTAGACTCTAGATTTCCTGACTGCTGGTTCTTTGCTCATTCTGTTGTTCCACAGTGGGTGGTATGTGCTCGGAAATGGAGTGAAGTAAAAGCCTAACCGAAACGGAGCTGTAACATTGTGCCACCTGGTTCTTCCACACCTCAGAGCTCAGCCACACGTGTCCTCATGGACTGAATGAGAAATAATAGAGGCAGGGAGAAACTGGGGGCAGAAGTGTCTTTATGAGTTATATCTATTAAAAATATACACACCCACACATTCTTTTCTTTCTTTATATTACTGAATCCTGAATATAACAAATCAGAAAAGGGTTTCTGATAGTTCACTTTATAAATAGCTTTAAATTCTTGTTAGTTAAACTGAAGTTATTCATTGCCTGAGATTATTTTTTTACATTTCTGTATTGTCAAGACTAACAAATCAAAACGTGGTGAAAATAGTTCTTTTCTCAGAAACGCTGCAAGGATCTCTAAGTTTAAGCAAGTTTCCAGTGTAGTGTGTATAATAAATCACCTGTCTCTGTTTCAAAATTGTCAGCAACAGAATGGAAACTGTAGCACTTACCAAAGGATCAAGTACTGAAATAAAAATAATCTGCCTTTTAACAGTCACATGGTTTCCATAAATCAAAGCCATCTTCTGGGAGAAATTCCTTGTTATCTTTACTGAATGAGCAACAGCGGCTGTTGACCTTTGATAAGTGGAACCTAGGGTATGATTTGGGTATTTCTTCTTCAATTCCTTTAGCGTTTCCTGCACACCTACAGAGCACATGGAGGGATAGGGCAGAGCTTGATGAGAGGAAGAAAAATAAGAAGGCCCCCGGAGACCCTGTGCTTTGCCCTCAGAGAGATTGATAGTGATGGCAAATCAAGTAGAGAATCCCCAATCTTGCATTTCTTCTTTCTTGCTTCCTGTTCTGTCTCACGCCCAGGTGGTGCTGTATTTTGATACTGCAGTAGTAATGAGAAATATGTCCTTCTCTGTGCTTGGTAAAGAATGACACAGTATAACTCTGCCTGTCACATTCACGCAGAGGGTGGCTTGTCTTGCCACATGGGGAGCATTCCGTTCCTACCCTTTCATGTTACACACTAAAGCCAGTCATGAAAAAGAAAGATAAATGATAAAGACGTTTAAAAAAAAAAAACCCAATGTCAATGCACAGGAGGTGAAAAACTGCACTTCCAAGAAAACCCCAGCTGAAGCCAGCATACTTTGTATCATTGCTATGGGTGAAGTCGTGGTTGGGCAGGTACCCACACTCCAAAGACCTGTCGTGCCACATTGAACATGGTGGACTTGTTCATATCACTTAACTCTCCTGAATCTCAATACCTTCACATGTAAGAGATCAAAACTATTTGTTGGGCACAAGGGACTATCTTGTCTGCATAAATGCAGCCTGGTTCTGCCAGCCTTGTGTGTTATTCTTCATTCTGTCTGAAAAAGAAGGAGGTGGATACTCTGATTATGTGTGGAGTGGTTACAAAATATTGAGATGACGTTCTTCAGTCATGCAGTAGAGCTCACGGCCATGGAAATAGGGTTCCCTGTCCTCCTCCCCTCCCTGCCCCGCCCGGATTTCAACCTAGATTTCTTAGAAGTTGTTCCTAGTTGTGTCAGAATATAGATACTCTCTGTGTTAGAAGCTAGTCTTATTTGTCAACCCTTGTTTTTTTGCCCTGTCCCCACCCCAGCCCCATTAATGCATGGTGCTGTTTTAAAGGATTTTTAACTGTTTTCTGAATTGAATGGTACCCTTCAGAGAGGAGGATGTGCTTTTGCCAGTGCCATTTTAAGCATAACATTGGTGGCTCTGATGCAGTGTAAAAAATATTTTGGGTAAACATTATAATAGGGGTCTCTTAGGAAAGCTTTTGAGTGGGTATAGCACTTGATGTATTTAAGTTCTAGAAGTTGATTTTTTTTTTTACTTCTGTCATTCAAACTTTTATTACTTAAAAAAAAAACATTTTTTTACTTGAGTGTAGTTTACATACTATTTTACGTTACTTTTGGCTGTCAAAAGAACATAATGATTCAACTTCTCTGTGTTACGCTGTGCTCACCACGAGTTACCTACCATCTGTCACCATACAATGCTATTACAATGTCATTGACTATATTTCCTATGCTGTGCCTTTTATTCCCGTGATGTATTCATTCCATGCCCGTAACTTGATTAAAAAAAAAAAATTCTGTGTGATCATTTTGTTATATGATGGGTGAATGAAAGTTGCTGGAGAACTTTTGGGGCAGTAGAAAGAGGTGCCTTAGGCTCACAGGCAGATAAGTTAACTTTTTATTGGTGGGGTGCAGGGAATCACTGAGAGGTATCACAGATTATCCAGAAACCTACTCTGCTCCAAACAGAGGGCGGTTTAGATTAAGAGATGGCTTGCTTTATGTAAAAACATAAATCATGCTCCTATGAACAGGTAATTTGTTACTCAGTTGAAGGGAGAGATCTTCCTGGCACCATTTTGTTTTAGTATGATTTAGTATGTTTTAGTATGATCATAGACCCTATGATTAAAGGGTCTCTTGTCACCTTTTTATATTTAAAAAGGTCACCCCTTGATATAATACTATTTCAAGTTTAGATCCTCTTGCAAATAAACATGTGCTTTTCTAACTAAAATTTGAACTGTGAAAAATAGAGGAAATGGGCTAGTTTGCCATCATCTGAGGCCTTGGTCCCAAATGACATGATTAAGAAAGTTAGGGTAATTTTTTAAGTCAGTGATACTTGATGGTTCATGTTTCTTTGTTCTTGTTAGCCTAAAGGAAGACAATGGGTTGGGTTTCCAGAGTTATAAGTACAGGAAAGTGTGGCCACAAAGATTTAGTTATTCATGTTCCTACACATGTATTTTCTCTAAAATAAATTAAAGTTCTTCTGTCAGTTTATATTATATACAATATATATAATATAATATGTGTATTGTATTATATATATAAAGATTTTTTTTTAAATTTTGGAATTGGTATGTTAGAGATTGCAGGATGAAGGGAAAATAACTTTTTGTGTCTTCTTTGCTCCCCTCTCAAATCTTTCCTTTAGAAAAAATAGCCTTTGTGTTTAAAATGTAACTACTTGTAAGTACCTGCTATGCACAGGGTGAAATCAGGCTGAAGCAAACACTGAAGTTAACCACAGAGAGAAAAGCATCACCCAAAGTACTAAATCATTTCTACCCACTTGGTGGGATTACATAATGTGATTTTCCATACAGAAGCTTCAATTAATATTTTTAGAATGGATCAGAGTCACCTTTTGCCTTCTGTAGTCAACCACCAGTCATTATAGTTACTGTAGTTTTTTGGAACAAGTCAGCCCTTCCAGTAGGGAGGAATGACTAAATCGTATGTGAAATAGATGGTGATATTCATACTGGTAAGAATCTCAATTCTTTGTGTCCATTTTCTGTGTTTGGTATGGCCTTTGTAGTAGCATATTCATGTGCTTAATTTCCCCATTGGCATCACACCTGGGAGGAAGAAAGGTGTGTTTCTCCTAACAACTCTCTTCTCTTTCTATCAGGGCGTGTTGGAGAGCTTCCTGGGCACAGCTGTCTCTGGGGCCATCTTTTGCCTGTTTGCCGGTCAACCACTCACGATTTTGAGCAGCACAGGACCTGTCCTTGTCTTTGAGAGGCTTCTATTCAATTTCAGCAAGTATGTGTATACATGTCTAATTATAAATTAGGATTAATTCTAGAACACAGTCTAGATATAGCACCGAATAGTAATTAGGTAGGTCAGAATATGGGAATTTTGAGATTTGGAGGTTGAAAGGCCCTTGGAGATTGGGTAGTCCAACACTCATTTTACATTTCATTCAGCTGAGGGCCCATATGTTGTACTATCTACTTGCCCTCATCATTATTCTCTATCCTTCTAGTCCTGCTTTGTGCCACAGGGGCTGACCCAAACACTAAGTCTCCTTTGCCCTCTGGCTTATTGTTGGGTTAGACTAGTGCACGAGTAGGACAGGAAGGGAGGGAGAGAGGTCAGGGTGTGGGTCCACCTCCCTGTACCTCACAGTCCCTGCTTTAACACTGCAGTCTGGCAGTGGCTTGTCCCCTGAGTAGAGCCTCTGTACAGTGGCTCCACTGGCCTGGCTCTACCCTCACTAGGCTCTGGTGACTCTCTTCCTTCCTTGGCCTTTTGAAGCCAGGAGGTAAAAATGGCTCCCTGATGTTTCCAGTTCCTGAGTACTTTGCCATTCTCTGTTACTCACACATCTGTAAATAGCCCATTTATTAAGTTTTCCTCACAAACCCATTTGAGAATGCCATCTATTTCCTGTCATGATCCTGGCCGACAAGAAATGAAATGTCTTGTTCAAGGTCCCATGGCTCATTAATGAGAGACTAGTTGTTCCAGTGATCCACTGCTCCTGACCCTGATTCCAGTGTTCTTAATTAAAGATTCATTTCAAGAGCCAGCTTAGTAATAGCATTTGTTGAGTGTTGAGTGTTGATCACATACCAAATATGATCCGAAGTGCGTTACATGTACTTCCTCATTTCATTCCTGTAGCAGTGCAATGAGGTAGGGACCATACCCTGTTTTATTATTTTTATTTTTATTTTTAAATGTTTATTTATTTTTGAAAAGGGCGGGGGAGAGAGAATCCCAAGGAAGCCCCACACTCAGTGCGGAGCCCGATGTGGGCCTTCATCTCAGGACTGTGAGATCATGACCTGAGCTGAAATCAAGAGTCTGAAGCTTAACCAAATGAGCCACCCAGGCACCCCCAACCCCACCCCCATACCCTGTTTTATAGATGAGAAAACAGGCAGGGAGAGGGTAAGTGCATTTTCATAGGCCCCATTACCAGTTGTTGGTGGGACTGGGATTTGAATTCTGCTTTCTGACTCTGGATACTATGCCTCTTAGGAAATTACCATACACTCCTAATGGACATAACAATTGTGATATCGTATTTTCTTTTAGAATTTGATGGATCATTTTAAGAAGCGGAAAATCAAGTTAAGCGAATTATCCAAGTGGCCACATTAGCACACAAATAAATTCAAAATCAAATTGGGTATTCTGGCCTCTTTCTAGTGAACTCGATACCTCTCAGAGAGAATTGCCTTTCCCAGCAGACCTCAATCCTTCGGCAGATTGCAGAATTTCATATTGACTTGCTGGCACTCCTTGTTGGAATTTCCATATTCTTATATTGTTATAAATTTTTAAGATTTTGTTGTTGGAAGTTTTGTTACCTACATGATACCTCATGGACTCAAGGGCTGATAGAATAGCCTTTGAAACTGTACGTTACCATCAAAAGCTATCACAAGATAGAGAAGGCGGTGAGAATTTAAAACGAGTGTTTTGAAAACTGGGCTGAGAACATCAGCAAGATCTTATGAGAATTTAAAGCAATAATGTGAGTTTTCTGTAGCTCATCACTACAAATCCCTCCTCCATCATAATTCTCAGAAGGACATTGGAAAGAATTTCTATTCGTGTCAGTTTATAGAAAGTCAAACCATTTTTATATGTTTAAGAAAACATTGTGTGAGACAAGAAAGCTTTTGTGGAAAGATGGAACAAGCATGTACTATAAACAGGAACAAACATGTGCAACCTTTGCAGAAAGATTTATTGGATGCAATGTGATCAGAGCCTTAATATACAGAAAATGTTTGCGTCCCAGTTTACTTTAGATAATTGTAGGATAGAGATTATTTCCTTTCACTAAGCAAGTTCCTTTCTCACTTTCCCTTCTGTTTCATCATAATTGGTAATGTAAACATAGTTCCAAGTGATTTGAAAACAGTTGTAAAGCAACAAGAAACATTTGAGAAACTGTGCTTTAAATTCATCACTGAGTAGCATGTGGTGCTTTAAGGCAAACCATGTCCTTTTGTTCATAATGCTGTGTCATTTGCTTCTGTATTGTAACAACAGTGCTAATATTTTGTTTAGATATAGAGTATTTGTGTAGATCACTATTTCTCAAAGTGTATTTCCTCAATGATTAGTCCCATTTAGGTGTTTCATAGAAAAAAAAAAAGCTCTGTGATCCCCATAAATCTGGCAAATGCTGTATATTTGCTTCCTCTTAGTAATTCATTTTACAGTTCAGCTTACTAAGGGATCTGAGAAGTCCTTTAGTAAAGAAACTGCTTTAGTCTGTCTTGCCCAGATTTCCCCCCAAAATATTTTACTGTTTTTTTTTTTAAGTAGGTAAATCTTTGTTTTGTAGCTTCAGTGGACTCAAGCGTGACTCCACATAATGCACAGATTTCCCTCTGATGTGGAATACAGGTTTTAATGTTTGGCCTATAAACTGGAGAATCATTAAGGAATATGAAAGATGTTCTGTCACCTTTTAAAATTAGTAACAGAATGACAGCTTACAACTTTCCAAATGACAATTGTAGTTTTTTCCCCCTAATTCTACAGTCTTCTTTGCACTATTTTTACACATTGTAAACCAGTAACAGAGAAGTAGATACCTTTTCTTTTTCTCACGCAAAGAATCTGAAAGTTTTTTTTTCTTAATGTTTACTTTTGAGAGAGAGAGGGAGAAAGGTAACGTGAGTGGGGAAGGGCAAAGAGAGAGGGAGACACAGTATGAAGCAGGCTCCAGGCTCTGCTCTCAGCTGTCAGCACAGAGCCTCATGTGGGGCTTGAACCCACACAATCCGTGAAATCATGTCCTGATCCAAAGTTGGATGCTTAACCGACTGAGCCACCCAGGTGCCCCTGGAAGTTTTAACACTGTGTCTAAGCCATGTAGAAACCTCTAATTAAAGTTGGATTTTAGCCTGTATAATTGCTTTTAGTCATTCAATAATTTTTTTCCTTCTATTCTTTGAATAATTTATTTAGAGGCCTTCAAATGATTGTTTTCTTCTATTATGTTGTTGGATTTATTCATGTAGTTTAGGGAGTTTACATTTGTCAGTGACTTGAACATTAATTTCTGTAGCATGCCTCTGATGAGTTCTTCTGTTTGTCTGTACCTTGGTTTTATGCTACTCAGAAACTGTAAGTCAAAATATCTAGGAACACTGTGATATCATAAGGATATAAACCCATTTTCTCATTTGAATTCACCATAGTTTCTTTTGTCTCTACTATCATTTACTGTTACTTTTTATAACTTAATTGCTATTTAAACTTGGCACTAAAGGGACTGATAGTCTTGTTGGATGTAATATTGCCACTTTATTGTAGTCATTACTGTTGATCAACTTGTTTTAAAGTTTCTCATCTCTTATTCCTCTTTCTTCTTGCTGCTGTAAACATATCACTTTTATAATGAAGTGCCATCGGTTTTAGTGATTTTATTTGGGTTATTCTTATAGAGCTACTCTGGGAATATTTAAGTATTTTAGAGCAGCTATTTTGGTATATTGTTTAGATCCTAAGATTTAAGTTTATATAGGCATTTTTTCCCTTTGTACTCAAACTGACTGTTCCTAACCATTAGCTGGTTATTGGATTTGTTTCTCATCCTGTCCTATAAACATCAATTCTCTAAACAACCATTAGCATTCTTAGGACAAATCAAGACTGCCCTGTCATCTTGTTAGGGAAACAAAACTAAGTAATTGTTTAAAACTTTTTATTTTAAGAAAAAAGTTTGTTGGCTCAGAAGTAATAAAACTGTTTCTTAGCCCTGACTCCGAGACTTGATTCATTGTGTAATAATGTAAATTATCTCAGGTTCCTAGAATTTAGCTTTTTCTATACTCTACTTATCTCACAGAGACAAGCATAGGATTAAGCAGTGGGATTGTAGATCTAAAGAGAACTATAAGGGAATGCAAAAGATGTCCTCAGGAAGATTCCAGGATTGGGGCGCCTGGGTAGCTCAGTCGGTTGAGCCACTGACTTCAGCTCAGGTTATGATCTCACGGTTTGCGGGTTCAACCCCACGTCAGGCTCTGTGCTGACAGCTCAGAGCCTGGAGCCTACTTCGGATTCCGTGTCTCCCTCTCTTTCTGCCCTCCCTTGCTTGCACTCTGTTTCTCTCAAAAATAAACATGAAAAAAAATTGAAAAAAAGAAAGATTCCAGGAAATCCATAGGAGATAACTTTCTGCCCAAGTGTTAATAATCTCCTGCTTTGGTAATATATTCCAATTTAGGTGATTTGGTGAAAAGAAGGAAAAAAAGGACAGTGATTTTAAGGTCCACCCTAAATATAACTCAGGGGAATGATGGTGAAATTTTTAAAGGACCAGTCCAAGAATGCAGAGGTTTGGTTTCTGGTCCAGCTCTGCCGTTAAAACCTTGGCATTGGATAAATGACTTAACTTCCATTGGCCTTGGAGTTCTCATCTATAAAATGAGACATATTTGACTAACTGGTATCTATATTAAGATTCTCCAGAGACATGAGACCAATAGAGTAAAGAGATTTATTATAAGGAATTGACTCACATGATTATAGAGACTAGCAAGTCCGAAATCTGTAGGTTGGGCCAACAGGCTGGAGACCCAGGAGAGCTGATGCTCCAGTTCACATTCAAAGGCTGTCTGCTGTAGAAACAGAAAAGGCCATGTTCCATATCAAGTCCAAAGGCAATCTTCTGGAGAATTTTTTCTTGCCTGGGGTTGGCAGGTATTTTGCTGTGTTCAGTTGAAGGATTTGATTAGATGAATTTCACCCACGTTATGGAAAGCAGTCTGCTTTACTCAAAGCCTACCAATTTAAATGTTAATTTCATCAAACTCATCCTTATAGAGATACCAAGAATAACATTTGGCCAAATATCTGGGTGCCACATGATCCAGCCAAGTTGATGCATAAAATTAACCATCACAGTATGTAAGGAACTTTTAATTCTAATATTCCATAAAATTTTCACTCAGGATCTCCTGGCTCTCTGTGAGAATACTTAGGTCATGGCAGTAACTGTCTCAAGTCCAAAGCCATAGGCATGCCTTAATTCATCTAGCAAGTTCTCATTGGAAACATTTAATATGCCAACAATTATGTTAGTTAGAGAATTTGAATTTTATTCTATGAACAGTGTGAAGCCATCAAAAGGTTTTGAAAGGGGGTAGGGAGGATCTGATTTACATTTAAAAAGATCATTTTGGCTATAATGTGGAAAATGGCTTTGAGCAGGGCAAACATGGATATCAGTAAGGACATAAAATCAAGCAAAGACTTCGTGGTGGCCCAAACTGGATTGGTCGTGGTGAAGGTGTTGATACCATACCTTCAGGAATATATTAAAATACATCACTATAAAAGATACTTGTTTAAAATCAAAGCTGTAGAGCATCAAGTATGCATGATCCTTGATTTATTTCTTTTTCTCATAGAAGAAATATGATGACTACTGTTTGCTTTTTCATCATAAATGATGAGAAAAAGGGGCTGCTGGGTGGCTCAGTTGGCTGAGCATCTGGCTTTGGCCTGGGTTATGAACTCATAGTTTGTGAGTTCAGGTCCTACATCAGGCTCTGTGCTGACAGCTCAGCGCCTGGAGCCTGCTTCAGATTCTGTGTCTCCCTCTCTCTCTCTGTCCCTCCCCTGCTGTGCTCTCTCTCTCTCTCAAAAGCAAATAAGTAAACATTAAAACAAATTTAAATGATAAGAAAAATACTATAATCTTCACATAATTTTAAAAGAATCAATATGAAATGGTAAAATGTCAACACTTGGCCCATATTTTCCTAAATGTGAGCTAATTTACTTAAAAGGAATGGAAAGGGCTTTGAAAAACAATGGCCTCCTTTGATGGAGGCAGCCTAATCTAAGACTACTGTGGGACAGGAACAGACCAAAAACAAGGTGGTCACAAGATGCTTCACACACCACTTAAGCAGAAGGATACCATGTCTATGGACAAGCTTCACAAGAAGGATACCACGTCTGTGGTTGCATCTGGCTATGACACAGCAAGAGAGCCTTTCTTGATCTGAGTACAGTGTAATTATCCTATTTACCCTTAAATACCTGGAGTTTTTCCTACAACCCCCAGCCAGAATTAGTTATTCCTCTGTGACACTCTGTGGGAACCTTTAGATATCACTTAGTATTTTCTGGTGTGATTATGTTTATCAGTTTGTCTCCCTCAGTAGATTGCGATGATGTGGGAACAGAGAATATATTTATCTTAGTGTCTTCATTAACCAGCGAAGCTCACAAACATTTATTGAGTGCATACTCGGTACCAATGTGACGCTTTCAAATTGTTTATTTTCTAAACTCCATGAAGGCAGAGTTTGAATGAGAAAATTTAGTTATTTACCTGCAAATGGTATGACTACTTTTGATGTGCCATTCTTAAACTTTCAGGATTATTTCTTTAATAATATCATGAGACCGAATCCTTAGACTTGGTATTTTCTGGATAAAATCAAGAATGAGATTTATATTTAGTGGCTAAAAGTGATCCTGTATTTTTTACAATCATTCTGCCGTCATTGGGTAGTTTTATATTACTCTTTGTATTCCATGGAGGAGTCTAAAATACCTTTCTCTCTTCTTTCCAGGGATCATAATTTTGACTATCTGGAGTTTCGCCTTTGGATTGGCTTGTGGTCAGCCTTCTTGTGTCTCATTTTGGTAGCCACAGATGCCAGCTTCTTGGTTCAGTACTTCACTCGCTTCACAGAAGAGGGCTTCTCTTCTCTGATTAGCTTCATCTTTATCTACGATGCTTTCAAGAAGATGATCAAGCTAGCTGACTACTACCCCATCAACTCCAACTTCAAAGTGGGCTACAATACTCACTTTTCCTGTGCCTGTGTGCCTCCTGACCCAGGTGAGGACACCATGCTTCATGTTGGTGCTTACCCTGTGTTTGGAGGAAGGTGTAGGCTCCATGCATGCAAGCTTTCGGCATGGTATCATGATCATCAGTAAAAGGTTTTATTTTATTTTCTCTGAGAAACCATCCTGCCAGATTTGAAGTTTTATTACCTAAGGTATCTTAGCCACGAGATTCAATCAGGAAGAGAAACCAGGAGCTCTGAAATGAACTCAACTTTGAAATTAGCTCAAACTGCAGTATTTGCAAGGAAATTTAGTGTACATTATTCTTCATCTTATCTGATAGTTGAGGAAACCAGATACAAATATTAACATATAAGGGCCAGACAAACCCAGTCCTCTGAACTTCTGTCCCATATTTTTCTGTTTTCTTATTGCTCTAGGAATCTCTTCCTGAAGTAAACTCTAAATAGATTATTTTGAGCTTATAGAAGAAACAAGATACTATTGACTTTATAGAATTTGAAGCATGAAATTGAAAAAGAAGTTCAGATTGTAGTCTCTTAGCGGTAAAGAGGAGCCTTATAGTTCATCTGTGCTAGACCATGTAAGTAAGAAAGGAAAAGAAGAGATAAGAGAAAGAAAAGAAGGAATGTTATGCTCTCAGGGAAGATTTATATTCTAGAATTAGGAAAGATATAAAAGTAAAAAGTAAGTTCTGGGTAAGGAATATGATTCTATACACCCTAGCAGTCTAGTATCCCTCTAGCCAAACCTTTTTCCCAAAAGGTGCTCAACTTGGTCTTTGGATTTTTTTTAGGGTAATTCATCATTTTATGATATGGAAGGCATTTGGAAGAAAGGATTCACTTTGGGGAAAGTTGTTTTATATCTGTAGAAGTTTGTGTCAGATAATTAAATGGTAATAGTGTTAGTTATCCCAGGTCATGCAATTAGCTACAAGTTATTGTCCCTTAAAATAAAAACTGATACACATTCCATGAAGGTCTTATAGCACCAGGAGTACAATAGCATATGGGGGACCGTGTAAACCTGAGCAGAGATGTAGGGCACATTCATGCAATATGCACCTTTACGTATAGATTCTGCAGGAAAACCTCTTCATGTTTACAGTAAGACAGACGTGGGTGTATCGTAGACTAGAATGCAGACAAAATGATTATGAGTTTAAAAACAGAACAAAGAATTTTAATGCTGATGGCAAGCTGTGTTAGATTGCCCTCAGATATTTTGGTGCTGTATTTGCAATCTTCTCTGCCACTTGGGTGGAGAAACCTTAGAAGACCTGTATGCATCTTGAGTGACGAGTGACAAGAGAACAGTATCTCCCTAAAGTTGGGTTGGTCAGTAACACTGATGAAAAGATAGGTCATTGTTGGGCTTTGCACTCACAGATTCTTTTGTCTTATTTAAGGACAATCAACACACATTGACAGAAAGCGCATGCTTAAAAGCAGGAGTGCTGATTCATAAGGGCACTTGAACCCAATGTTTATAGCAGCACTTTCAACAATAGCCAAACTATGGAAAGAGCCTAAATGTCCATCAACTGATGAATGGATAAAGAAATTATGGTTTATATACACAATGGAATACTATGTGACAATGAGAAAGAATGAAATATGGCCTTTTGTAGCAATGTGGTTGGAACTGGAGAGGATTATGCTAAGTGAAATAAGTCATATAGAGAAAGACAGATACCCTATGTTTTCACTTTTATGTGGATCCTGAGAAACTTAACAGAAGACCATGGGGTAGGGGAAGAAAAAAAAAGAGGTTAGAGAGCGAGGGAGCCAAAACATAAGAGACTCTTAAAAACTGAGAACAAACTGAGGGTTGATGGGGAGTGGGGAGGAGTGGAGGGTGGGTGATGGGTATTGAGGAGGGTACCTTTTGAGATGAGCACTGGGTGTTGTATGGAAACCAGTTTGACAATAAATTTCATATTAAAAAAAAAAGCAAAGCGGAGACAGGTATGAAGTGAAAATGTAGGCAACATGAATGACATATAATCACAAAAGCTTTTTATTATTAAAATGTGTACTGATGACAAATATTTCATAACTTAAAAACTGCTTAGAGAAGAGTAGGCACTCAATACATGATAGATACTATTATTAGGATCAATTAAATATGCTTGAAACACAGATGTTACCATTACACAATCATATAGAACTTTTCCTAAATAAGAGGAGAGTAACCATCCATTGTGTACTTTCAGGGGAAGTCCAGACTATGCGCATTCAAACTGTTGGCTCACAGACAAACTTAATTGTGGGATTTTGAACTTTCCGTTTCATTTATTTCTATCTTTATGTATTTATATGTCACTATTTCTTTATGAAAAAAGTGTGTAATCTGACTTCATAGGCAAGTCTAAGTAGTCATACAGTAAATTTTTTAAAGGAAAAAAAATACTCCTCACTTTTTTGAGGTTTGAGGTATTCATGAAGCCAGATGAGGGCTTTGTCAGCACACCTGTCACATAGAAGGTCTACTTACCTGAGGCTAATGGAAACTGGGGCTCGTTGTTTTAATTGGATGCTGGCAGAGATCATAATATAGAGCCAAGGAAGACATATTTGAACGTTTTAATTGTCAAAAATACATGAAGATTTTATATGTAACTTTCCTTCCTAGAAGGACCATTGTTTTCTAGAAAATGTCATTGTGAAGCTTGAAACCTGCATAGTAAGTAGTCACTGAAGTGGAGATAGATGGCTTTTCCTTTGACCTGTTTTCCCCAGCCTGTATTGGAAGTCTGTCTTACAGAGTGAGGAGTTGTCTTGGAAGGACTCTGGCAATCTCTACTACCTCCAAGTGGGACCAGTAGTGAAGTGTAGCAGGGCTTTGAAGTCAGAAAATCTAGTATTTAAGCCCCACTTGGCTAATGCTCTATGTGGGACTTCAGGCAAGTTCCTTTTCCCCGGGTGCCTCGCCTTACCTTCCTCATTGGTACAAAGGGGTTAATAACTGCACCTACCTTATAGAATTGTTATATTGTGTGGAAAAACTGAGGTATTTTCTAGTACAGACAAAGTACTTAGGACGGTTTCTGGTATGTAATGACTAATTGCTAACTGACACTGTTACTGCGGTTATTATTATTAAAATTTAAGGTTAGTAAGTACGAATGATGGAAAAACAAACCAGTCTTCATCATGCCCCCTTCTGAGCATACACTATTGGGCAGTTGGCTTATTTTATGACAAGACTGTTGGTCACACCCCATATTTTTAGAGTTGTCCAGGTGAAAGGCACTCATGAAGGATATGAACATGAATGGGAGGGATTTCCTTAAACTATGGAAATAAAATGTCTGTGGTTGGGAAAAAAGGCAAGTGGATATCTCCACTTTCATGATAAACCCTTAAGATTAGTGATTGTGTGTTTCTCTCCTCAAGATCTTAATACTTTTTGAAAGAAAACTATATACCACCATCAATTTAGTACTTCATGATAGCAAGTTGAAAAATGATAGTTATAGAATAATACAGTTGCATGTACAGCTAGCGTAAGTATTCTAAAAACAACAAAAGCCTGGCCTTTCATCGCAACATGCGCTCCTAGTAAAAGAATTCAGTCAATGAGTCAATAATATTTAAACTGGCGGATTACTTGTTTTTCAACACTGGGACGTGTGTAACAGTGAACCAGCAACTACACAGATGGAGACATAGGCCTGCAAACTGAGAAGTGATTGTACAGGAAAGGAAATAGGGGTCACTCAATCCCTGTGAAAACTTGATTCACAGCTACAATAAGACTGTGAGTTTTTTGTGCTTTGTGAAGACAACTCTTCCTCCTCTTTTCCTTCCTTGTCTGTCCTGTTCTCACTTGCTTCCATAAATCTTCATCACTTCCTGAGTTTTCTTTTCTTCATGCATCTTTCTCTCCCTTTCATCCCATCTATTGCTCAGGGACCAAAGTCATACTGAAGAACTAAGGAAGCCCAGTTGCAAGCACTAAAAGGAAAATTAGTCGTGTGGTTTGACAAAGCACTCAGGGTCAATACGTGGTTTTTGTGCTAAAATTTCTCTTTCTTAGAAATAGAGTCGCTATTAATTGATGGAGAGGTAATAGAGGTTATATCTCCACTGCGCCTTGATGTTTACATAGCAGAGATGTATAAGAAAGATGACTCAGTTCAGAAGCCAACAGTGCAAACTAAAAAATGTCCAATTAAGGACAGTCCACAATATTACATTTCATCACCAACATCCCAATTGGGGAAACTTAGCGTGATAAAGTGTGAACAATATGTGCTTTGGAGTAAAGGAAAGTGACCATGACTCAGGTCTAACCAGCAATGTGACCATGGGCTAGGCTAATTACCTAATTTCTTTGTTTTTCTTAACCTGTGAGCTGTGTTAATAATTGTACCTACTCTTAGAAGTTACCATATGGATTAAATGAAATAGTATATGTAACGTTTGCCACCTAATAGACACTGAGTAAAAATTTGTTCTTATTCTTATTTCTCCTTTTTCCACAAAAGATGCCCCAGCCAGTTTAATCTTTTAGTTGTATTCTTTTAAAGGGGTTCAAACATTTAATTTTCCCTGAAATTTTCCCAATGGAGTATACTAACTAGGTTCTTACTAGAAGCCTCCCCCCGCCCCAACCGCAAGTTAACAACTAATGTGCTGTTGTAGATAAATATGAAACATTGGAGCCATATTTAAAGAAAAAAGTGTTAAGGAGTTCAGTACATAGTAGTTAGATCATTTAATATTATTCCATTGAATCTCAAGTCTACAAAAGTGTTATACACTATATATAATGTGGAAGAAGGCTAGAAAGTCCTTTCCCCTTCCCTGAGGGGAAATGTTCATTTCTTTTAAGTTGGTCTGATTCACTCAAAAACAAATGACAGAATTTTGTAAATAAGGAATAAGATATGATCTTTCTTCTTTCTTTTCCCCCCTCTCCTCTCCCTCCTTCTCTTGCCCTTTTATTCCTTTCCTTTCTACTATCAACAAAAATTTATATAGTGTCTTTTTCATTGCTTTTTAAGAATTGTGCTACTTCAGTGAACTAGACTACCCACACACATACATTCCCCACATACACCTATACACTATGCCACACACAACCCTATACACCACAATGCACACACCTATACACTATACCACACACACCTACATACTACACACATACACACCATACCACATACACCTATACACTATACCACACACACACCACACACACACACAGAGACAGACACACCTATACATCATACCACATGCGTCTATACACCACACACTTGCACTTACATATACACCTCTACACAACACTGCACACACACACCACACTGCACACCACCATACCACACACACATCTATACACCATACACATACACACATCACACACACCTGTACATCACACCACACACACCCCACATATACGCTGTGCACACACACACACACAAATATACTCACATTGCTTTTTATAAAATGTGTTGTTTTAAAATGTGTTGTTTAAATGTAGAAAATAGTGTTAATTACTTTTTGAATGAATGAGGCCAGATTTTCATTTGACCTACACTTTAGAAATACATTTCCACTTAAGTACCTGTGTTCATTTGCCTGATGTGTCAAGGTTGCAATGAGTGTGCACTCAAGGGCATATTAATATTTTAGAAAGGGTCAAAATAAATTTTCTAACCAAGTGTGGTTTTATACCTGGAGGGGAAAGAAGCCTTGCTAAAAATGATAAACAAATTAGAGAAGAAAGAAAAACTGCCTCAAGGGAGTAGATTCTATACTTTATTGTTAACAGAAGGGATATATTTTATTGATTCATTGTTGACTGTTCCAGGGAGAACATGCTTAATAATGGATGAGTGATTAAGAGGGATACTTTCTCAAGTACTGAGACATCATGGTCTATAGTATCTCTAAGTAAAAGATGGCTTTTTCCCTGAGTGAAACTCTAAGACCAAGTGATTGAAAGTAGCCATGGCTTCCATTTCCTTTTTTTTTTTTTTTTTTAGAATTATTTATTTATTTTGAGAGAGACAGAGACAGGGCAAGCGGGGGAGGGACAGAGAGAGAGGGAGAGAGAGAATCCCAAGCAGGATCTACACTGTCAGTGCAGACCCTGATGCAGGGCTTGAATTCACAAAACTGTGAGATCATGACCTGAACTGAAACCAAGAGTCAGACGCTTAGCCAACTGAGCCAGGTACCCCTGGCTTCCATTTCTACACCTTTGTTTTATTCACAGCATGAGGAGGCCTCCAAATGATCTAAAATGGTCGTCACTAGAGTAGAATTTCATTATCATTCCTTTCTATATTATTTTTCTATTATCTTAATAAATGCTATGCACCAAGATGTTACAACCATTAAAAGGAACTGCTCGATTGTGTCTCCTGTGGTCCCATATTATAGTCGATATGCGTTTTGTAATTAGAAAGCCCATTAAAAGAAAATTAGGAAATAAAAGATAATCCTAATTTATCTTCCATGACCTGCATCATATTCTATGCAATTTTATTTTTATTATGTATCATTCCCTCTTTGGATTATAAAGTAGGTTTAAATCATAGACTAATGGTTAAACAGGAAGTACTAGGCCTTCTGGTATAGAATGATTCAGGCTTTGCATTTGCAAGGATACTTCACCAGCACAGCTGATGTTTTATCATTTATGGTACTATGATCTTTTGAGAAAACCATAGAAATTTGAAGCATCCATCATTTTAGCTTCCTTTTACTCTCCTAGCCTAGTATTTTAGCAGTTTCTGTGAAACACTTGCAGGACTCAAGAGGGGAAACAATGAATTTGGATAATCACCAGATCTGTATAATTCACTAGCTGTGGGTTCCAAGAAACACACATTTGGAAACATAGCCTGTAGTAATGTGTATACACATCTGAAATGTAGTGATGAGTGGGTATGGAATAGAAATTTTTTTGTGTGAAAATAGTGACTAAATATGTCCCACTTAATAGTAGCTCAGCCCTTTAACTTCCAACGTGGTATCATAGGTGAATGTGTGAAAAAGTGTCCACAGATTGGAGTTTGTCATAACTTGAACTTGTCTAGTTACAGTGAAAACCTAAAGCATGAGGCTTGGCAAAAATACTTAGGAAAATGAAGAGTATAATAACAAAACGTGAAGAAAACTTTCTATTTGTTTTAAGGCTCAAGGCTGGGATGGTGGCAGGTAATTTCCCTAAGAGCTATTTCTCCCAAAGTTTTCCTCATTCACCTTGTCATCCTTCCAAAAGCCATTTTTGCCCTTTTATTGATATAGACATTTAAAGCATAAATATTTGATTTTATTAAGAGGTGTTCATGTGCTAAAATTTCCCAGGATCCTTAAAGAAGCCTGACATGACCATGCAGGCAAGAAGCTTATTCAGTTTTATTCTATATCTGTTTTCTAGTTACTCAGTTTCCTCAAGATGTTGCTTGAGTAGAATGAATAAAACATTAAAATTTCATTATTGTAGAGAATACTCTTACATTTTTTCTTGCTGAGAGCAAGCTAACCAGTTCTACATTAATCCTAAGAAGCTATGTTGAGGGTGTAGATTCAGATTTGGCTAATATTTATTAAGCACCATCCAAGTGCCATACATCTTACTAAGGATTTTAATAAAGTGTATTTCAATATCTGTTATTATAGTATATATGTATTCAGTCATCACAAACCTTGTGAAGTAGCAGACTTTTTTCCAGGGGTGAAATTTTGCTTTCTTCAGGTCATAAAGCTGATTGTCTCCTTAGTAACCATCTATTTCAGTTTTACCTGCTATTGTGCTAACAGTTTTTCCTACATTGTCTTATTTAATCTGCAAGGTAACCTTATGAGATAAATGGTTTCAAGTCCACCTCCACAAATGAGGGGCCTGTGGTCAAGAGAGTGAGGTGGTTTGGGGACAGTTTGTTCCAGAATGTGGTGGAGCCAGAGTTCTAGGCCAGTTTTCTTAGCATTCCTTTCTCTTAACTTGTGATGTGGTGGTGCATGAAGGCAGACAGATCTTTTGAGCCTTGGTGGTTATTTCTTACTCATAGTTTACTGTGTAGCCTTTGTATATATTCCTGATGTAAAGCAGAGGAGTCATGGGGTAGTTCCTGGGGCGAGGTACTGGAGGATAAAGAAGGACAACCTTACAGGTGCAATTGAAATTTCTTATGCAGGAGGTATACTAACACTGACATGTGGATGTCACCTTTTTTTCCTGCTTGTATCCTGTAGCCTGATCTTTCCGTAGACCTCTCATTAAACATACAGGGGGAAAAAAAAAGCCAGCTTAAGATGGAACACTCACAGGCACATTTTTAAATGTCTATTACTAATGATGTTCATTTCCCCTGTTCCAGAGGATCAGCTAGAATTTGATACACAGGAAGAAGGATCAAGAAGTGAAAATCCAAGGAACATAAAATGACCAACCTGTGAAAACTCCCTGAAACCAAGTGTGGGACACAGACTGTCCCAGTGACAACTGGCTAATTCTAACTTAGCCAGATTCCTAGGGCAAAGAGTTTCTTTGCTGCATAAGCCATGGTGCTGAGCAAATAGTGAAGACAGACAAAGTGCAGTGTGTTTATGATTTTCTATTTGACCTTTTCAGAATCCTGATTAAGGATATTAAGAATTCTATATGCATAGATCATTCTGCACTTGGTTGCCAAAATACTTGTATTGTATGTATCTTGATCCAAATGGTGAACAGTGGCTCTCACAGAAGCCAATTGAAATTGATAATTCTCTCCTCTGTGAGCTTAAAGAAATTTACTTTTAGTTTTATGTATGGACTCTCCTATATTCTGTTAACATGTATTTTTGGAAATGCTTGTTTACATATTTATTTTGAAGTCCTTTTCTTGAAGCAGCTACCTACTAAAATAAGTTGGAAAGGTGTATACTTTTTATTGTCCTTTTGATAGTAGTCTCTGGGACTTTGAGAGGCATGCTTTAATAGCTTGTCTCAGAGGAAAACTGAAAAAATAAAAGGAATTTAGTTGAGCAGAATCGATGTGTATCTAGAACTTGAAAGTAGTCCCTAGAAGTTCAGATTGGAATCCTGGTTTAGTTCACTGGTGGTCTTTATTATGTCATTCATCTCACAAAAAAGGAGGATATCTTGGATATCTTTCTCCCTCACTCTTACTCCTTGTTTTTATGTGGAAAAGTCTGTTGTACAAAGACCTTCACTCTCTTATGACAGGAAGCTCATAAAATTGCATCAAAGAATCTTGCTCAGGAAGAGGAGTTTCCCAGACACCATCTAAATAGTGCCTGTGATTTCACATAGACTGCTTTCTTCCGAACACTCAGACCAGTGTGTCAGACTAGACACATTTCGGGGTGTGGGGGGGGGCGGTTGAAATTCACATCATCTAACATTGGAGAGTATTATCCCACCTTGAATTCTGTTACCACAAAAATCAATTGCTGGCTAGGAAAAGAAAGAATGCTGAACAAGATTTTGGTATCAGTTCTACTTCTGGTTGACTCTTCTACAGTCCTGGGCAAGAAACCCGGCATATCTTGTTTCAGAGTCCCATTCAACATAAAGCAGGTATAAAAGTATAGCTTGTTTTTAAATGAGCAAATGGAATAATGTAAGAAAATGTATTGTAGGCTTTTTAGAACAAAATAGTGCTAAAAATCTAGGTTTTGTTAACAAAAATGTACTAACATCTTCTTTCTTTTGGGAATGAACTCATGTTTGGTTTTATTGTTTGGGCCAAGCATCCTTTAGCCTATTTTGATTCTTTCTGTGACCTGTGCTGAAACAGAATAAGAAAACAGGTTGCGTGTGTGTTTTACAAGGAAATAGGGATGACCTAGCAGTAGATTAAAAGTTTAACAATTCTAGAACCTTCAAAGATCAGAATGGATTCCAACATTGACAAAGACTAGGGCTCTAGCTAAATATTTTCTCCCTTTTATTTGTTTTCATTATTTCATTTCTTTTGCCTTTATCTGCCCTCATTCATTTGGAGTCATTAAATGTTCCCTATTCTAGCCTCATTTATTGACATTAAAAGATATTTTCATTTTATTGAGGTATAGTTGACAAAAGTATAATGTATTTAAAGTGTACAAATGATGATTTCATATATGTATACATTATGAAAGGATTCCCACCAAAGTTAACTAATACATCCATCACCTCTCATTTTTATTTTATTTTATTATTTTATTTTACTTCATTTTATTTTATTATTATACTTTATTTTATTATTTTATTTTATTTAGATCCTCAGACCTTATTCTTCTTATAACTAGAAGTTTGTATCCTTTTACTGACCTCTTTCTATTTCCCCATCCACCATCCCCTCCAGCCCCCAGCCCCTGGCAACCACCATTTTACTCTCTCTCTTTCTATGAGTTGTATTTACCTTTTATTTTTTTTAGCTTCTACCTATAACTGACACCATACAGTATTTGTCTTTGGCTGGCTTATTTCACTTAGCATAATGTCTTCCAGGTTCATCCATATTTTTGCAAATGGCAGGATTTCCTTTTTTTTTTTTTTTTAAGGTTGAATAATAAATAAATATTTTTGAGTTCCTGTTAGTGCTGGACTGGGCAGATTCTGGGAAAAAGCAGTGAACAAGACATGCCCTTTCTGTTATGGATTTTATATTCTAAATTTCAACAATCAAATCTATTTGTTTCTCGTTAAGAGCTTATGTTGGTAGGAACTAAAATACGGCAAACTAAAAGGATAGTCTAGGGGCTTGGGGGCAGGAGGGGGCAGGCAAGAGGGGACCAAATAATAGCAGTTTGGATGTTAAATGTGATGCTCAAAGACAAAAACCTAAATGTCATTTTACAATATCTCCATAAATTAGGGATATTCTCTCAGTAACGATTTTATAATACATAAAACTTCAGGGGCACCTGGATGCTCAGTCAGTTAAGTATCCGACTCTTGATTTTGGCTCAGGCCATGATCTCACAGTTCTTAGGGTTGAGCCCTGCATCAGGCTCTGCACTGGGCACGGAGCCTGTTTGAGATTCTCTCTCTCTCTCTCTCTCTCTCTCTCACTCTCTCACTCTCTCACTCTCACTCTCACTCTCTCTCTCTCTCTGTCCCTCCCTACTCTCTCTCAAAATAAATAAACAAACATTTTAAACAAAAACCAAAACAAAACAAAACAATCAGAGTTCCTGGATAGCTCAGTCAGTTAAGCATCAGATGCTTGGTTTCAGCTCAGGTCATGATCTCATGGTTCCTGAGTTCAAGCCCTGTGTCAGGCTCCTTACTGGGACCCTGCTTGGGATTCTCTCTCTCTCCCTCCCTTTCTCTCTGTCCCTCCCCCACTCACACTCTTTCTCTCAAAATAAATAAATAAACTTTAAAAAAACAAAACAAAAAACTCATGCAATAGGAAAAAGGCTTATTTGATAAAAAGTTTTAATTATAGAACACCTTAAATAATATGTTTTAATTTTAGGTTCAAAAATTTTAAAATAATGAAATATTTCCAGGAAGAGAGTTGGTTTAATAAATAAGTCACATTCCTCAAAAAGCAACCTCTTAATAAATTTACAAATCATGGCAAATTTTGTGATAATAATTTTAAAAATTAGATTCAACATTTATTACCATTATACTTATATAGTTTATTATGTGTTTGAAAGACTTTTTGTTTTCCCACATATTGCAAAGATATACTCTCTCATATGCAGTCCAGATTTTCAAAAATCCCAAATTAGTTACTTCTTAACCAGTGAAAATCTACTTGTGAGATTTGACTGTACATGAAGCCCGTGATCAACTTACTCACTTACTAACATCCATTTTTCCACCAGACAAAATACAGTGAATGCTTTTTTAATAACGGAGAAGTTTTCTTTTTCTTTTTTTTTTTGAAACCTGAAACAAATTGTAATACCATTTCCTTAAATGTTTGCCATTGTTTCTTTTCAGATTAAAGTACAACAGATGTGTCTGAATCTTTGCTAATTTTATCTAGGTGAAAGGTGAATACAATTATAATAAAGAAAAATTCATTGTGCTTTATGGTGGTGTTGAAGACATTTTTCGTGCCTGGCCCAGCTTTTTTAGATTTTGAGTTATGAATTTAGGTCATTTTTATGGTAAAAGATTGTCTTTTTCTTACAGTTAATATCTCAATATCTAATGACACTACACCGGCTCCAGAGGATTGGCCAACTGTTTCTTCTACTGACATGGTAAGTGACTTAATATTTCAAACCACTTGTGTATTGTATAATCTAATTATAATATTCATAACATGATGTCTCCTACCCTTTAGCAACCTGAACATGAACACAACTTCAATAATCAGTGATAGCAGGACAGAAAAAAACACTCTCCTTGCTGTAGTCAGCCTTTTTTTTTCTTCTCTTCTCTTTTCTCTTCTCACTGTAGTGAATATTTACTCCTACAGCATGCTTTTTAAACCTTCTTAGGAATTTAACTACTATATCCATTCATTGTCACCTTCAAATATCTTCACAAGGAAAAGTGAGAGAAGTCAAAAAAGAGAGCATGGTATCCTCTGTGTTTTAGTATGATTAAAAGTTCTTCTGACTACCAAATGGTGTTGTATTCTCCTCACTAAGGGTGATTGTAGCAGGACATTTCCCCTGTCGCTTAGAAAGGACTGTGCCTCTGTCACATGATATCCTTTCCCATGTCTTGTAACCAAGAATCTTTAAAAGACTAGAACTAAGCTTTGAAAATGAGCTGTTTTGCATAGAAGGTCACACACTGGAAGGAGACTTTGTTTTGAAGAAAAAGGGAAAAGTGCTATTTCAGACTTCTAATTGTGTTCCTTCTACGCTGGATATGGAATCTTACCAAAGAATATCAATCTCTCGGTTATAAAGACAGAAACCATAATACCTTGTATTGATAGAGTGCGCATCTCTCAGGAGACCAAAACAGTTCTGCAGATATTATGTAATGAGTGCCCACAACACCCTTTCAAAGATGATGTTTTGTATCTTTCCTGGGCAACTCTCACTTGACCCTGTTTCTCTCTTGTTTTCATATTCTGTGGCTCTCTTGACTTTTTTCCTTACTGTTAAAGCTGTCTCTGATTTCCTCCAAACTTTGCCTCTTTATTTGGGTTTGATTATAAATGTGTGTGTGTGTGTGTGTGTGTGTGTGTGTGTGTGTGTGAGAGAGAGAGAGAGAGAGAGAGAGAGAGATGTATATATGTTTTAAAAGCCACATGCAGAAAAGAGACCAATTGTCAGTCTTTGAGCCAGCCATCCTATTGCCTAAAATAATTTGATTAAAATACAGAGAAAAACAGTTCCTTCTAGACTTTAAATAATTTTAATTAAAGTCTAATTAAAAATTTAAAACATATATAATTAATTAAAACCATAAGTTAATTTGCAATAAAAATTAATGAAACACTTTCACTGACTTAAAAAGAGATTATTTCCAACTTAATTCTTTTTGTAACTAATCAAGGAAAGCTTTAGAATTAATGAATTTTTAAGCCCTGTCTTTGGGCAAAATTCTGGAGTGACTCTAGTAATTGATATGTAATTATAATAAGATGTCACTATAAGATTTATGGAAAACAAATGGAAGTTGTTGTTGACTTCTGGTATGACTATGATAGAGGATATAAAGGCACAATAGTGATTACAATTGAGCTACCATTTATAGGGCATCTAGTAGAGAGACCAGGTGTCTTATACGTATTATAACCATTAACACAAACTACCAGGTGTAATTATGTTCATTTTATAGATGAGAGAAACTGCAGCTTTAGAAGGTAAATCACCTTTCATGGTCTAGGTCACATAGCCATAAATTATTAAAATAAAGATTTCAACTGAAATCTGAGTGGTTTTAAGACCTGTGATATTTCTAGTATGCCATGATACTTCAGTGTTTGCAAGTAGAAATGTTTACCCTTTCAGTTCTTACGAATGCTGTATGCTCCAGGGCAATAGTCCCCTTAGTTGCACACCTTAATTAAAATGTTAGGTTGCTATGTTCTTCTCTAGAGAAGAAATTAGGAAAAAATGTGTGTATATGTGTGTATGTATATAATCATGAAGGACAACTTTTATTCTGTCCTTCATTTTTCCTTTTCTATCCGTATCAGTGCTTTTAGGTATACTTTGCATAGATAGACGCACACATAAATACATACACGCAATTTGTATTTATATGAGATCAGAAATGAATATTAAAGAGGTAATATGATTTATTATCACCAGCAATAACTACCACTTGTTGAGCACCTACTAGGGGCCAGGCTCTTCATATGACCTGTCTAGAATCCTCACAATAACTTTTAAGTCACTTATGTTACCTGTATTTTATGGATGAAACAGAACCTTAGAAAGGTTAACTGTGCCTATCGTCAGTATACGTAAAATCAGGATTTGAACTCCAGGCTTTCAAATTCCAGAATCTGCCTATTCCCATTACTTGAGGAATCAGAATAGTGTCTCATGTAGAAGGACTTACAGGTGGTGAGTTCTCCTGTCATACTGCCCCTTTTCAAATTCAGGGCTCCACTATTGAATAGGTTGTGGTAACTTCTCATTTTCCCATTTGTAAAATGGTGATGATCATAGTACTTTATCTCAAAGATGCTATAAAAGCCAAGGGAGTAAATAGGCAGGACTTAGCTTAGTGGCTGGTACATACTCATCTCTCCATTCAAGTTAGATATTGTTCTTATTCTATTTAGGTATTACAATCATTCCACTAGGCCATGTTGCTGCCGTAACTCAGGTTGGTGGAGAAAAGAAGTTGGATGCCACTGCTCTGACAGGGGACTGGGCCCTCTCTGTGTTTGGCCATGCTAACTCTGCTCAATCTTTCCTGGGACATTCAGTCATCAAGGATTTAATTTCCTTCTTTTATCCAGCCATAATTATATTATGAAAGCAAGTGCTGTAAAAGTGACATGCCACCCTGGGGCACCAGCAAGGCTCCCTGTCACAAGGCTCAGAGTATACTCTGTCAGAGGAGGGAAGGCATTTTCTCTTCCGCTTCATTAGCATGAAGACAGCTTTTTTTTCTTCATAGTAGTATGGGAGTGTTTTCAGGGGGAAAGAGCAGGAAAAATGGGACATTAGAGCGTTTAGACAGATTGAAGCTCTAGAATAACCATCCCTCAAGATGAAAAGGCAGGTTTTCCATCATTTCTATTCATTGTTGGAATCCTTGTGTCTTTAATTCTTCTCACCTTCACCAGTGTTCCTGTAGATTTATTGGTGGGCATATCCCCTCAGCCTGCAGACAAAATTCTGTTAAAAGTTCCTATAAAACTCTGAGACCAGCCACAGCCTCTCCAACTGTATCAACACAATGAGCCTTAGAGTCGGCTGGCTTCCACTTACCCACTCTCAGAGGGAGAGACCAGATTCCATAGTCGAACATCAGGGCTTTTCCAGGGAGGTGACTGAATAGATTACTTTTTGTTTTTCACATTAGATTCTTTTTTAAAAATGATTATCAAATTGAGGTATACTTTAAAACATAAAGTTCTCACATGTTCAGTGCAATGAATTTTGGTACTTTATATACTCATGTAATCATCACCCAAAACAAGATGCATGTAGAACGTTGCCATTATCCCAGAAAGTCCCATGGGGACTGCTCTGTGTCTTGTTTATGCCTAAGCTTCTGAGCCATGGGAGACCTTTCTTTGCCCAACTGCTCTGCCCCAGCCTTCAGAGGGAAGAAACCTTAGCCCTTTCAGGAGTACCTGAATGCCTCAAAGGGCTTTTTCTCCACTCTTCTGTCCTGCTTCCCATCTTAGGAAGTGGATTTCTTGCATTTGGTAGGGACTCTGTCTAAGGGATTTCTCTCAGCTCTCCTAACATCCTACCTTTTTGTACAACCTGTGCACCTTGGCAAAGACGATGAGAAAATTTGGTGGATGGATGCAGGCTCAGTCTAACACCGAGGGCTCCTTGGAATTCTGGTCTGTCACCCCAGTCTTCATGTAGCCATTTAAAACTCCTTAAAGATTTGGCTTATTTCTCCATACCTCCATCTATGGTAGATTTATCTTCCACAGGCCACTGTGGCAGGCATATGCAGCCATGGATTTTTTTTCTCTCTTCCAGGAAGATCTTGTAACTTCTTAGAATTTATTCAAGTTTGTATATATCCTCATATCTCTGACAGATTTTTAAAAACTATGATTTTTTTTTTTTACCTTATCCAGATTGGTTGGATAGGTTGGAAGTGACTCTTTCTTTCTTTCTTTCTTTCTTTCTTTCTTTCTTTCTTTCTTTCTTTCTTTCTTTCTTTCTTTTTTTAAGTTTTTATTTAAATTTTAGTGAGTTAACATGCAGTGTAATATTAGTTTCAGGTGTACAATATAGTGATTCAGCACTTCCATGCATCACCCTGTGCTCATCATGACAGGTGCATTCCTTAATCCCCATCACCTATTTAACCCGTTCCCCCCACCCACCTCCCCTCTGGTGGCCATCAGCTTGTTCTCTATAGCTAAGAGTCTGTTTCTTTACCCTCCCTCTTTTTTCCTCTTTTGCTTGTTTGTTTTGTTTCTTAAATTCCACACATTGAGTGAAATCATATGGTATTTCTCTTTCTCTGACTGACTTATTTTGCTTAACATAATGCTCTATCTCCCTCCATTGTCCCAAATAGCAAGATTTTGTTCCCCAATAGCAAGATTTCGTTCTTTTTTATGTCTGATTAATACTCCATTGTATATACATACACCACTTCTTTATCCATTCATCAGTCGATGGACACTTCGGTTGTTTCCATAATTTGGTTATTGTCGATAATGCTTCTATCATTCTATAAATATCTATATTTATAGATATAAATATAAATATCAGGGTGCATGTATCTCTTTGAATTAGTACTTTTGTATTCTTTGGGTAAATTCCTAACAGTGCAGTTGCTGAATCATAGAGTAGTTTTATTTTTAACTTTCTGAGGAACCTCCATACTGTTTTCCAGAGTGGCTGCACCAGTTTGCATTGCCACCAACAGTTCAAGAGGTTCCCCTTTCTCCACACCCTCACCAACATTTGTTGTTTCATCTGTTCATTTTAGTCATTCTGACAGGTATGAGGTGATATCTCATTGGTTTTGATTTGCATTTCCCTGATGATGAGTGATGTTGGGTATCTTTTTATGGGTCTATTGGCCGTCTGTATATCTTCTTTGGAATGTGTCTATAATGTCTTCTGCCCATTTTTTAACT